CAGGTGGCCCAGGCCGGGCTGGGGCTGGGGCCGGGAGCTGGTGGGCAGTGGGCGCAGTGTGAAGGCAGGTTCCAGGCTGCCCTGAGGCTTTGGCCTGAACAGAGGAGCTGCCATCAGCTGAGCGGGGGGCGGGGAGTGAGTGAGGATCCAGAGGGAAGTCAGGGTCTCAATTTGGGGCACATTCTCTTTGAGAGGCCCGTTAGCTATCCCGGTGGCCACCCCCACCTGCCCCACCCAGTGCTGTCCTGCCGTGCACCCCTTCCCCTTCATACACCCCGTCCCCTTCGGACATAGACTGCTCCTAAGCCCCAGTGGAAAGGGGTTTATCCAGGCAGCCTGCCTGGCAGAGGCAGCCTGCAGCAGGGCTTTGATGGCAAAACACGCCTCCTTGAGAGAGGTGAGAAGGCCTGCAGCGGCTGAGGTTGGGGGTCCCAAGGCCCTCGCCCCGACCAGGCCCTGGGCCTTCCCTGCCCGCCCCCCCCCTCCCCCTCATCCCTTCTGCAGGGTCCAGCCGCCCACGCCTCCCGTGCCCTCTGAGGGTGAACCTGCCGTGTCACCTGTCTCCGGTTTTTTGATTTGTTTAATTATAGATGAGTTTTCTGCATAATTTATTCCAAAAGCCTGGATTATACTGTACAATTAAATCACATTCTGATCAACAACTTCACATATAAAATTAACAACTGGCAGCAGTTTAATCCATGCTGCTGCATCTGCACGCAGGCGCCCCGTCCCTCTCTGCCCCTTCTCTCCCACCCCATCCCTCCCCCGTCCTCCTCCTCTTCTGTCTCCCCTGCGCCCCCCGGCCCTGTCCCCCTCCCCTCTGGGTGGGGCCTGTGCAGCTGGCCTCAGAGCTGCAGGCCCCTCACTGAGTGCTCTGTCCATGGCCAGGGGCCTCCCCAGCCTCCCAGCGGGTCCCCATGGTTCTGCTTGCAAAGGGGGGGTCTCACCCCACACTTTTCCTGAAGGCAACACCCCCTCTTCCCTCACACCTTGGTTCTGACCTTGCCCTGGAGACTAAGGCCTGGGCTCCCGCCGCCCCTGGGTCAGCTTCTTCCTGCTGGGCTGCCCTCGCCTGCCCACATCCTGGGCCACGGGAACCTTCACCCTGTGCCCACTCCTGGCCCCTCTCAGCGAGGGAGCAGGGGGTTGAGGGGAGCCGCTGGGGACTCCTTCCCACTGCACTCTTCCTCCCCATCTCCTCCCCACAAGTGCAGGCATTGCCCGGAGATCTCCTGAGTGCCGGGGTGGGGGAGAGGGGGCTGCATTGAATGAGCTAGTCCTCAGGGGGCTGCCCAGTAACAACACTGCCCGTCACGGTGGCCACGCAGACTTGCCGTCCTTCAGCCGGTCATCAGTCCCCCTGCTCACTGACAGCAAAGCCAGAGTCCGAGGGGCAGAACCCTCCAAGGTCACGCGGCTGGCAGAGATGGCCCATCGTCCTGATGGTGCCCGGACCACAGGTCTGGCTTCTCTCAGTATATGGCCCGGCACCCATCCTTGTCACTGGCCCCAGAGCAGTGCCCAGACCCTCCTGGGTTCAGGCACGTGGGTGGACATGGTGGTGCTGGGCTCTGCCCAGCCTCCCGTGCCCACAGCAGTCACCGCGCCGTGCCGGCTGCAGCCCGGGCTGCACGTGCGCCTCCCCTGCGCTCCTCACGGTCGTGCTAATTTGGCACTTAGAGACACTTGCAGATAAGCAGTGTCATCTCAATGAGGAGCCTGGAAAATCACGGATGTGAGGAGCCAGCAGGGGGGGCTGCCACTGGGAGGGTGGCCCGTGGGCCACAGGCTGACCAGGGGGCTCTTGGCGGAGCCAGGCACCTGGGCCCAGGCTGGTGGAAGCCCCGGCAGGATTTGGTCCGTTTGCCTTTGGCCCAGTGGGGCTGTGGATCCTTCCAGAACCCTCCTGCCTTCTGCTGGGGTGAGGACGACGATACCTGGCCAGGATTAGGCTCAGTTTGGTGGGTGGTGTCTCCAACTGTGGGGCTGGCTAGTACTGGGACGCCAGCCAAACCCTGGGACCCACATAGTCACGTCTCTGTGAAGATGAAACGAATGGCTCAGCTGGTATGGCTTAGCGTTGAGCATTGACCCAGGGGCCAAGAGGTCACCGGTTCGATTCCCGATCAGGGTACACCGGGGCTCTATCCCTGGTAGGGGTGCATGCAGGAGGCAGCCAGTCAGTGATGTTCCTCTCTCATCAGTGTTTCTCTCTCTCTTCCTCTCACTCTAAAAATCAATATAAAACATTTTAAAAAAGATGAAATGAGTGATCGATCACGGTCTTTTAATCCCCTAGACACACAGTGCTTTCCTGGTTGGGTTTGTGTAGGTGAATAATCACATAACCTGCGTGCGGGGCACGGAGGAGCCGGGCAGTGCAGCCGGGGCCTAGGGTCTGCCCATCAGGCCCCGCATGCCAGACCGGCTGGAGCTGCCCCGAGAGTCCAGGAGGGGGTGTCCTGGGTGGGCCAGGCCCTGCAGCCCACAGCAGAGTGCAGAGCTGCTCAGCCTGGGCGTGGGAGTGGGGAGGCTGTGCACGTGTGTGCACACTCGTGTGTGTATGTGTGTGTGCATACGTGTGTTGGGGGCAGGAAGGGAGAGCGGAAGAGAGGGAGGGAGGGAGGGAGAGTGAGTGTGTGTTTTGGGTAAGAAATGGACTTTATCCTGAGATTTGGCTCTTCTGAAAAAAATTTTTTAGGGTTGAAATAGTCTGTTTTGATGAAATGATGGTGATAATAATAATAATAATAATAATAATGTGTTGTCTGAACAAAATAAAAACTTGACACCCATGCCCGGTCTTCCAGTTACTTTTCTTTTATCTGTGGGATCCTGGAACCGAAGACCTACAGATGCACTAGGAAGGAGTCAGTGGCCTGGGGATGGACCAGGGCTGTGCTCTCTGGGGGAGGAGACGGAGGGGGAGAAGGGAGGACCGTGAGTGGCTGCCTTTGCCGATATATAAAATTCTCAAGCTCCCAAGGTGACGCCCCGAAGGCATAGTTGGGCGGAGGTGCACACCCTGGGTGGTGGTCTGTGTCCACCACTTCCTGGGTGGGTGACCTTGGGCAGGTCACTCGCTGTCTCTGTGCCTCAGTTTCCCCGTCTGTACATTCGGGAAGATGGCGTTTGCTTCTTCCTGAGGATTGAAGCCAGGAAGCCGGCGACATGCTGGCGCCACAGCTTGTACATCCGAAGGGCTGCCCTTGTACATAATGGTCCCAGGAAGGGTTATGATGGGCATTCTGTCCCCTCGACCAGTGAATGGCTGAGGTCAGGGTCAGGGTCAGGGCAGAGCTGATGGTTCCCTTTGGCTCTCAGCTCCTTGACCTCCCCGTTCCTGTGCACCTGCCTCGCTGGACACAGGCCATCTCAACACGAGGCCGGCCAGGCTCCGACTCGGGAACACCAAACAGCCACCGGCCACCCTGTCCACCCACGGCCGGGGCCACGCCCTCAGTGCCTGGTGGGCAGGAGCCAGGGCCGAGCCGGCCCGCATTCTCCGCCAGGCTTTGCCCTGTCCCAGCCGGCAGCCGCTGCCTGATCGCCCTTCGTGCCCGGCCCGCGGCCTGGCCTCTGCCCGGGTGCGGGGTTCGCGTCCCCTGCGGTGGGGAGTGGAGGTGGGCAACACGCCGCGGCTCAGCCGGCAACAAACCGAAGCTCATACCGCTTTCTTTTGATGTTGATTTTTTTTTCATCTTGGTCCCGACATTCTGCTTGGCAAATTGCAATTAGCGATCCGCCCGCCTCCTGCTCTGAGTTCCCATGCCAACGGACCCGGGCACACACAATGGCACGGCCCCAGCCCCCAGCCACAGGCCTGAGGAGGGATGTGGGGCAGAGGCGAGCTCTTCCGACCCACAGAGCGGGAAGGGTCCTGGCACCACGTGGCACTGGGGGAGGCAGGGAGGACGCAGGCGCGGGGGCAGGTGCCATCTCCCACGTCCTCTGGCTCCTGGGCTGGCCCTCCAGAGGCGGGGGGCTGGCACCCCCTCCCTTGCCCCCCGGGGTGTGCTTGGCCCACGGCGCATGTGCCTTGGCAGTCCTGGGAGCCCCCGCTGGGAGCCTCGTTCTGCCTGTGGGACTGGGAAGTTGAGATGCCTTTTCAGATGCATCTGGACAAGGGGTCCTGGTCGCCGCGGAGGTGCCTGGGGCCGGGGGGACCATGGCTTGGCAGCCCCTTTGCTCACCCATCGGCACTGCCTGAGCGGGGTCCCAGGTTAGAACCCGAGCCAGGCCTCTCCCCAGATACCGCCCTGTTCGTGGGTTTGGGCTGAGAATACAGGGCCACGGGACCGACCGTCTGTCCATCCTGTGCATTCCAAGGCTCCCTGGGCCGCATCCTTGGCGTGTCCTCGTGTCGGTGGCACCTGCTCAGGCTGGTGGCTCAGGTGCGGGACTCGGGGGGCTTGCCGTGTCCCCAGAAAGGGGCAGGATGGTCTGAACTGGCCCTGTGAGTGTGTGTGTGTGTGTGGGGGGGTGTCCTAGGCGACATGCGGCCAGGGGCCGCCGATCAGCAAGCTTACTGGGCGCTGGAAAGGCGAGGGCTGCCGGGCTGGGAGATCTGTGTCTACTGCTCCAAAGAGGCCCAATGACTTGGTGGCGGCAAGTCCCTCATGTCCCTCCCTCCCCCAGACCCCACCAGCCTTGGGGACACGAGGCTCTGAGCCCCGCAGGCACCCCTGGCTCCCTCCCACCCTCCTCCCCGGTGTCCAGTCCCCATGTGCGGGCGGCAGCAGCAGCCGGGGCCGCTCTCCACCGTGCAGTCTCCCTGCAGGTTCCCGAGCCGCTGGGCTCCCTCAGGGCATCTAAGGGGCAGCCCGCCCTCCTGCCGGCTGCCCAACAGGGCCTGGGCCTCCGGGCTGCGTTTCAAAGGAATCTGGGGGCTCTCTGGTGTTTGAAGGGGTGGCTGCTGCTGGGCACCCCCGGGTGCCGGGCTGGGCGGTCCCAGGCACCAGGCGGCCACCCTGACCCTCTCTCCTCTCTGCACGCAGGGTGCAGCACTGGGCGCGGCGCCTGGAGCAGGAGATCGACGGCGTGATGCGCATCTTCGGGGGCGCCCAGCAGCTCCGGGAGGTAAGCCTGCCGCCGGCTCCCCCTGCTTGGACCCTCTTCCACATGGGAATGGGGGGGGGGACTCCCGAGATGAGGAGCGGGGACGGTTTGGCGGGCCTTGTTGAGGACCCGGGTGGTGAAACATGCATGGCTGACCCTCGAGGGCAGGTGGGGGCGTCACTAGAAAACCAGGGACCCCTTCCGGTCTCGGCCTGCCCTTCGCGTGGTCACTGTGCCAAGTGGCCCCCGTCGGCGCTGTGCCAGGCTTGCAGGTGGTCGGGTGGGTGCGGCTGGTGTGTGAGGCAGCCGCTGGGGCGGGAGTCCCGGCCCTGGAGGGGCCCGCGGAGGCAGTCGGCACGTAAGCCAGAGGGACCGTCCGCGGTGAGTGGCGTGGCCGGTGCCGCCCGCCCAAGGCGCTGCTGGGCAGGCTGAGTTGAGAGCTCGGTGAGATGAGGATCTGGGGGCGGGAGGGTGATTGATTGGACCGGGCGACCACATCCATCCTGGAGATTATGTTAATGTTTGCAGTGGGGATGTGAAGAGCCGGCCATCCGTCACCCCCAGAAGGCGGCAAATGTGTCGCTGTCAGTCTCCTGAGCCGTCGCTTTTTATGGGAAACGCAGAGGCCCAGGGAGCCGGGCGCCAGGCGGGGCCGGGGCTGGGCCGGGAGGTGCGAGCAGGGCATTGACCGGCATCTCCTGCCGGTGGTCCCCCCGCGGACAGCGGCGTCAAGGGAGCTACTCGGAGCCCAGGTCCGGCTCGGTGAGGAGGTTCTCCACTGTGTCCTGTCGGCCCTCTCGGTCAGGGCCAAGGTCAGAAGGTGGGACCTCCGTGGGGCAGCTGCCGGGGGGTTGTTCCTGGTCATCTCCCGCACTGAGCGCATAGCAGGTGCCGGGAAACGGGGGGCAGACGCAGGCCGTGGACGGAGGACCCCTGTACAGGATGGTGCTCATCGGGGTGTCTAATGAGATGCTCACATGGGCGGGGAGGGGTTCCAGGTCTGGAGGTCGGAGCCACCTGTTTGCTGGCTGTCCTCCCCCCAGGGCCCAGCCTCCCTGAACCCCCTTCCCCGGTTGCCGTAACCCCAGCCCACTCTCCCGCGAACTCCCAGTGACTCAGCCGCGCGCGGAGGCCGCGGAGCTCTCCGAGGTGCAGAAGCTGCTCCGGGCGGAAGCCGGTCTGTGCTCAGGAGCAGCACGAGGGGGGCTGCCGGGCACTGCCACGTGCAGCACTGGGTTCGGGAGGAAACGGAGTCCCCTGGAGGTGGCCACGCCCTGTCCAGGTTCCTGCCGGACCTGGGACGTGTCCCGCTGAGGAGTTACCCACGCGCCTCGGGTCACCAATGTCTCGCGCACCTTCAGGACGGTGCTAGGAAAGTTGGCCGCCGAGAAAGGGACCTACAGGTTTCCTGCCGGGATTCGGTTCTGTCTGGTCCCTGGCGGGGCTGGGGGTCTCGCTGGGGGATGACGGGGGGAGAACAGCAGGGGCAGGCGGACACCCCGTTGTCAGGAGTCAGACTCCCTCGTGGGTCATCTTCACTCCCGGGCGGGTTGTTTCTTTCCGACGGGCGGTTGGGCCGTTCCAGGTACTTTCATCAATGAGCACATCCCCCCCGCCCCTCCCCCCACACACAGTCCAAGTCCCGCAGCCCCGGAGGGGCAGGGCTGGCATGGGGCGGGGCTTCCGACTCCTGTTCCAGGGGCTCCTCTGGCAGTGCCTCCCTCTCGGAAGGGTGGGCCTGGGGCAGTGGGCGCTGGGCTGGAGCAGGGGCCATGCGGGTGTGGCCGTGGCCGTGGCCGTGGCCCGCCTGGCAGCAGGCAGGAAGTGCTGACCCGGCGCTCCGGCTCCTCCTGGCAGCCCTCTCCTGCCGACGCTGCCAGCTCTCCAGCGGCTCTGTCCTGCTCCAGTTTTTCTCACTGCTTCCTCAGCCCCTTACTTCCCGCTGACAGCTCCGGGGCTGCTGCTTGGCACGGGGCACCCGGCGGGGTGGGCGGCAGGGAGCAGGTGAAAAGTTCCAGAGGGAAGGGGCCGCCCTGCACCCGCCCCGGACTGAGCCTCCAGGGCTCTCCTCCCTATGCCGGTGAGGCGTGTGCCCAGCCCGTGCCCAGCTCCGATGGGTCTGCAGGAGGCTTGCTGCAGAGCCCTCGGACCCTGGCACCAGCTCTCCCCCTGGGCCGCCCCGCCCAGGCCTCCCTGAGCTAATTCTGAGCTGCCTCAAGCACGCTGCAGCTGGGTGAGCCTGGAGTCCGGGCACCTTGGCCTTCTTCCCCTAAAGGGCTGTCTTCCCTCCTGTCCCAGCCTTCGAGGGCCCCACCCCCAGCGGCCGGGCCCTCAGCGCTGGCAGCTGCAAGAGCACCAAACTGCCGACGGTGGCATTTGGGAGCGTTTCCCTTGCCTGGGCACTTTCCTCCTCCCAACCTCACCACAGCCCCGGGGCAGGTGTGACTGGTGCCGACTGTGGCCCATTTCCAAGTTGGAAAGCACCGCAGTTTGGGGTGGAGTGGGGGTCTGTCTGTGAAGACCCCGGTCACACTTCCTCCTCTAACCCCAGGGCCAGCACATAGTAGGAGCTCCTGCTGTGGCCTGGAGCTTGGGTGGCATCCCTCCCCCATGCTCATGGCCAGGCACGATGAGCCATGCCCCCAGGTACCCAGCCTCAGCTCCCAGCCCTGTCCGATGCTGCCCAGGAGCAGGTCACAAAGCGTGGCGCCCTCTGCAGCCTGCCCTGCCCATGGCTCCTGGAGGCTGAGCGCGGCCTCCCAAGCCGTTTCTCTACCCGCCCCCATCAGCACCATATTGTCCCCATCCTGGGGGGGAGAGCAGAGAGCATATGCTTGGGCTCTGAGCTCATTTACATAATGAGGCTGATCATGATGAATAATTCATCAGGTGCCTGGGGGTGCAGGGGGGAGGAGGCGGAACCGGCCAGTCTCCCCACTCTGAAGCCCACGTCCTTCCCTCCGACAGGTATAGCCAGGGAACCACCCCCTTCTGACCGGGTGTCCAGGGGAGAAGGGGGACAACTCTGTAGAATAGAAGAGCCTCTATTGGGGGTGGGGGTCAGAGGGGAGGGAAGGCCACTGGGCAGAGGGGGCTGGGAGCAGAGAGCTGGGATGGCCACGTCTGGGGACCACAGGTCACCTTCTGGAAGGCTCAAGCCAAGCCTGGATCTACAAGGCTCTTTCTCAGGTGACATAACTCCCCCGTACCTGGTCTACTGGTCGGGGTAGAAATGGCGGAGAGCCCTGCCCATCTCTCTGACCACCTCAGCCCGCATGAGGCCGTAGCCCGTGGTCCTGACATACAAATGGGGAACCCAAGGTCCTGGCCAACTGTCTCCACCAGCCAGTCCCTCCTGGAGCCCCGCCAGGCCCGTCCTGAGTAGTGGTGGGGCTCGGCAGAGTCTCAGGGCAGAGGTGCAGGCCCGGGGCCTGCCTGGAGGAGGCCCCCTGGACTGCTGAGCTATGTCCACAGAGAGCAGGACCCCTCCCCACTGTGTGCTCCTCTGGACAGTCCCGGGGGTTCTGACCGATGGGTGCCTGCACCCCCACTCCTTTGGGTACCAGCGATGGTACTTCGGAGCCTGTGCTGGCACCGCCGTCCCCGCCCATCTTGCCTGCCTCCGGCCATCCCACGCAGTCTGCTCAGTGCTCCCTGGGAATGTGTAATTAATATTTGCAACGCGCCACATCTGGAGCTGGCTCTGGGCGAGGACCAGAGTCTGGCTGCGTCGAGGGCCCCCTTTGCTGCGGGGCTCAGAGAGGCTGGATGGGCCCCCGTGTGGGTTCCTTAGAGACCAACCTCCCTCCCCCACCCGCGCTGGTGCCACCAACTCCTGGAGCAGGTACACACTCACGCACCCGCTCAGGGGAGCTGGCCCAGGCTGGCTCGGGTGCTGGCCCAGGCTGCGGTTAACACCCCGTCCCATTTGGGGAGGGTCCTGTCTCAGCCCCTGGGCCTCTCAGGCGGGGTTAGCAGGGTCTGAGAGTGCTGGCCAGAGAAGCTCCGAACCCCATCAGGGCCCAGGACTGGGGCAGAAGAAGGGGCAGGAAGCAGGGGTGGGGGAGGTGCAGGGGGCAGAAGTAGCCCTGAAGGGTCAGGAAAGGGAAGCCGGGCGACCCCAGACCCCACAGCTGGTTCCATCAGACGCTGTGGTTCCCCTGCGCCCCAGCAGACAGGCCTGCAGCTCCTGGGCCCGGCAGACCCTCACACAGGCCCAGCATGGTCCCAGCTGATGCTCAGAGGCAGGTCGGGGTGAGGGAGCCCCCCACTTCCCCTCTCACCCCCACCCGTCACAATCCCTCCTCCCCAAAGCTCCCAGAAGCCTCCGCTGTCCTCGGGGTGTGTGCCTGCTCCTCCTGCAGCCCCCGCTGCCCGCCACCTCCCAGCGAGACCCAGCGGTGCCCTCGCTCTCCTGGCGAAGACCATCTCGTGATGTGCGCTGTCGGGCGGCAGCGGTGGGGGTGCGGCTGTAAAATATGCTGCTGGGTAGGGATTGCTGCTGCTCGCCTCCCTAAAAACCCACATATATTATTCTTTAATGGAAAGTTAATTGTCTTATTATTCCCTCCATATGGTCCTCCTGCTCAGCACCCAGCGGGGATGCACGGGCCGAGGGGGCTCCTGAGAGGGCGTCGGAGACGCGGTGAGGCCGCCACGTGAGCAGAATTGGATACAACAGGCAGATACACAGGAGCCGGCCACAGCCTTGCCCGGACCCCCTCTGTGTCCCCCAGCCCAGCCTGCACCCCACCGCCTTCCTCCCCAGGCCCCGTCCTGGGAGCGGCCCCTCTGCCTCAGCCCCTCCATCACCACGTGGGGAGGAGGGGGGGGTCGTTGCCCGCCCGCCTGCCGCCCCCACCCGCTGCGCTCCCGTCGCCTGCAGGAGAAAACTCCATTTCTGAGAAGGTTTTTAAAAGCCGATTCAGCCGTGGCAGGAGCTCCTGCCTCAGGGCCAGTGCACTGGCTGGGTCTCCACTCCCCACCCAGAGAGGGGGTGCGGGAGGTCATTGTGGGGGAGC